GAAAATTAGAATACGAAAGATAACGAAAAAATTATATATGAGAGATAACAGCAAAATAAGACAATTCTTCAAATGCTTTTATCCATCTTTACTATACTTCAAGTGCCTACACATTTATCCATCTTTACTATACTTTGTAGTTTATACGTTAACATGACTGTTTATGAATTATGTAAATTAATTTATCGTTAGTGTTTACAGTTACACTCCTAAGTAATAAGTTTTTCTCGGCTCAACATGATCATCCATACACAACACGCATATACATACACATATACAAACATGTTATACACAACATATTATATACAAAAATACGTACTCGCTCGTTGTTGATTACGTTAATTTGCGACATCTGCGATTATCGACAAAAATGAGACACATACTTAACTATATCGATGTCGATTTATATCGTCATTCATTGTCTGACGGATCGTTCTTATTGTACCTTACGATTATAATAATGATAATAAAATCATATATTATGTAATAATTACATTAAACTATATACGTGATCCTAAACTATATACGTAACTATATATGTTATCCTCGTAATAATGATTTTCGATAATTTTGCTAAATTCGCCAAAATGAGAAAATCATCGTTTCGTGCAATCGTAGTTCAATTTCATTTTATGTATAAATAATTATTATCTCAAGTTTCTATGTTAATAATGATAATTTTTCGGGACAAAGAATGTATCTAAACATCCTGAATATAAAATAACATTGATATTAGCATATTCGGGATAATTAACGAACAAAATGATTCGCAAATCTATTTCTATTGGTAAGTAATTTGATCTACGATCGCATGAGGTGCCAAAAACTTATATAAACGTATTTATTTAACTAAAAACATATTTATTTAATCTTTCAAATTTCTTTTAAAATTTCTTTAAAATAAATGTCGCAAAAAATTTGTTCATCTTATATCATTATATATATCTTCTTCATGCTTTTGTTTCTTCCTGAAAAAATACGCTAATAAAAGATACATAATATAAATACGCATATAAAAGATATATAAATAAAATAAAATAAGTTCACGATTATTGTGCGGACGAAAAATGCTGCAAAATGATATCTACGTACATATACGTGCTTTCATCGTTTTCGGACTGCGTTCAGCCGTAAATGGTCAACGCATCTCGCTTCGCTGTATTTGTTATATTTGGCATGCACCATATGCCAGCCACGTGGAGTCGCCGTGCGGCCGAAGAGATGCACGTAATTCAATAGGAGCGGACGAAAGTGCATGCATGCGCGCGATACGAATTAAGAAATAGCAAAAATAGAGCCGGTGCTCGTAGAATCGGGTAGTTGCGCGCGCCCCGCAGTCGACTGTCCTCAAATCACTCGGTCGCTAAAATTAATGATCGCTCTTGCGCACGATGCGCTAAAAGGATGCTTTTCGAAGGATACTCTCGGCTTTTTGAATGCCATGTAGTTTGCCTACTAGTATTGCACACTCCCGGTGTTAATATCTTCAATGCTCTAACAAAACATTTATCTGTTGACACTCTTTCTTCTATTAATATTCGTTTCAATCTTTTTCGACATTTTCTATAACAAAATGAATGAATAATTGATATGAATATAATTTGAGCGAGAAAGCGAAAAATAAAAAAATATTCTAAAATTATAATGTTTAATTTTTATTTATGTCATATTTTATTTAAATCAGTCATGACTATATTTATATCAATTTTTTTAAGCTATTGAATTTTTTAGATTTACTATAATTATTGACATAATTCTTAATGTTAGTCATTAATGCTCGATACAGTTACAGATTTAAAATATCTATATTATCCACTAAACATAATTTATGTGATTAAATTTATATAAATTTATATAATTCCAATTTTATTTTATTATAATTTTTATTTCATTCTGATATTTTTTTGATTTTTAAATATTATAATCTATGCAATTTTTTTAATGCGACTTAAAATTATTAAATACTAAAAATTATTAAATAGAGCAACCAATGCAATTTTTTGACAATTAAAAGTTGCCGCTAGTTATTGGTATCAAATTTTTTATGTTGTTCAATAATACTATTTTTTTACATTAGATTTTTTTATACTTCATATAAATACAAGTACAATATAATTCTATTAAATTTTATTGATAACTAAACTGACGTTAATTTTTGATTGGTAAAATTTTGTTCAACCTTGTTTTTTTTACTTTATGGAATTTATTTTATGGACTAAGTTAGTGTCACTTTTTGATATCATATCTTTTTATAATAATAAAATTGTTTATTCTTTAATATAAAAATTTTTTCATAAATAAAACCTATTTAATTTTTCTGTAAACTGTTTTTTTTATTTTATGAAGTTAAAAATTGATACTTTTTGATATTACATTTTTTGTATTAATTAAAAAATATGTTTTGTATTAATAAAAAAAAAATTTATTCTTTAATACGAAAATTTTTTTAAGTAGTTTTCTTATATAAGAAAATTTTTCTTTCTATATATGTAAAAAATGAAATTCTAATATAGCTTCAAATAAAAACAGTTAATTTATTAAAAATAATCTCGGAAAACTTAGTTATGTACAGATTCATTTGAATATTTGATTTTTTTTTATTCTCGACCCGGGAAAAAAGTTTATGTCTAATTATATATAATTATATCAGATATAATTATATATAATTATATATAATAAGATCTATTAATATTACAAATTACATGCAATTATATCAAAATATTTATAACTCCATATTAAATTATATAAAATTATACTGAAATTTTTTTCGGGTAAAAACTTTATATCTAATTATATGCAATTATATCAAATATTAATAATTCTATGTACAATTGTATTGAAATTTTTTTTAAAGAAAAAGTTTATATTTATGATGTGTGTAAACAGACAAATGAGAATTAACATTGTTCACAGTGCGCAATTGACATTCTTTATTAAAACTTAAATATATAATACTGTATTATATGTTTAAGTTTTAATAAAGAATGTTAATTACGTGAACAGCGCTGATTCTCACTTGCTATTTACTACATCATATTTTTTTAATACCGAGAATCATTTCATTAATATTTAGTTTATATGTAATTAGAAATAATTATATTAAAATGCTTACAACGTCACATTGGATTATACAAAACTATATTTCTTTTTCAAATAGAAAGATATACATTAAATTTTATAAAAATTTATAATATATTATGATGCATCAAACGAGGTATAAATAATAATTAAATCTAAATGAGAGATATTTCCGAGAGATATTACGAGTTTAGCTTGTTAAGAGCTTGTTAATGAATTTGTTAATAATTGTATTAAATATGGGAAATATTTTTCTTATTTAGTTATATTATAGTTATATTACAGTTATATTATAATTAATTAAGAAAGATAATTAATAAGGTTATTTCGTTATTTATTCATTAAAAATGACTTAAAAATGATGATTAAATGAGGATATATTTATGACGGTAATATTTTGTGTTAAATGTTACATTTATTTTACATCATTATTTAATATACTGATGTCGAATGACCAGAAATGACCTTAAATCATCGTCATAATGACGTCATCTTGCTACTTG